TATTCTAGTCAATATTTTTTTAAGAATTACTCATTATAGTCACTTTTATCTATTTTTTATTGTCATCATACATATAAAAATAAAAATGAATTGAATTAATCTCTAATTTTATTTTTTTACAAAATGACAGATTAAAATATTAATATTTATAATTTAAGAAACTAAAATAAATATTTATTTCGTTAAAAAAATAATTTAATCATTTATTCCAGATGGATATATTCCATAAGGATAGTGCTTGACGTATATTGACATTGTATCAAGTGGCAGAATCATAGATTAAATAATATAAGAGATAAGATAAATTATAATCTTGCTTCGATTATAGTCTAATTGTGGAAAAGCTTGTGCACGTGACTATTGAGAATTCACTATTCCATTTTTTCCTACAAGAATTTCTATATCAAACAATTATATTTGAATTAGTATAAGTGGTAAAATTTTTCTTTTAAATATTTAACAAGTTTATATTAATTAATTTTAAATTTGACACTGTATGATAAGTTAGAACAACTTTTTACTAATTAATTAATCCATATAGTCTATAATTTTTAAAAATAATATTTAACCACAAAAAAACTTTTTACCAAAATTTTAATAAAGTTTATCAGGTTTATAATGACAGTTAAATAAATAACAATATGAATATTTGAATAATAAAAATTATTTTAAAATCATCATAAAAATCATCATGATGAGAATGTGTGATAACAGTATTTTCATAAAAAATGTTATTTTTAAATTTTTACTCGGTGCTAACACTAACATTTTTCTAAAGTTATTTGTCAATTTTGTTAATATATTTTTTTATTCCTTTAATTAAAAAATGATATATTAAAAATAAAACCAATAATTAAAAGAAAGTGTGTTGTCATTTGATCTACATCAAAATTTTCCGATTTATTATATTTTAAATAGAGTTATGATAGAAAAAATTGATAAACAAGAATTCAAAAGTTAAATCTAATTAATATATAGATTAATTTCTATATATAAATGCTAAATAAATTACTGTAGTATATTTAAAATAAGAGTTTTATTAACTTCATCTCTTAAAGTTAATGATAAATAATTAATAATAATAAAATTTTATTAAAAAGAAAAATATCTATTATACTTTTATTATTTTAATGCAATATATTAAGTGTTAAAAATAAACACATGACAGAAAATGAAGAAGAGAGTATGACTCCTAAAAATGCTCTTATTTAATATAACTCTTAAACTACTATAAAAAAGATAAATATTAATTAAAAGTAGATGTTACAAAAAGAATTACAATATGTAAATATCGACTTAGCCTTTTAAATTTCTTATACTCGTTTTCTTTTTTTCTTTATATATATATATATATATATATATATCACATTATTTATATTTTAAAAAAATTAATGAAAAGGGTATTAGTAATATTTTCTTAATATACTTTTTAACATATGTTTAATTAATGCTTATATGTTATTAAAAAAATACAATAGTATAAGTAAACATGATTAAATTAAGAAGAAAACTTATATATTTTGCTAGTTTTATTAATATTAAGTAATAACTAAGAAGGCAGAAAGAATACAAAGAATATGTTTAAAGAGATGGTGTTAACATTTCTTTTCCAATGATACAGGAACTGCCATAGCTTTTTCGCATTCACAAATTCACTAACATAATTTAAATCCTTAACTTTGCATTCGAATAACTTTATTCATTAATTTTTTTTATTACTTTACAAATCAAAATTCGATTCAATCTTTTGAAGTAAACAAATGAACTACCGCACTATGCACGTCACTCCCATGAGCTCATCATTTGATTCGGTGTTGGGTAAATGATTGAGAAAAGGTTTAGTTTACTAATAAGACTTCGTTTAGTTTATTATATCATATAAGAATAAAAAACTTTCAACTTTATCACCATATCTATTTTTGGTTGCTTCCAACATTCTTAAATATTTGTTGCTGATTTATAGTAATTATTAGCACAAAAAAATTACATAATTATACAATACATTTCTTTGTCATAAATCCAATACGATAATCTCTCTATATATTTTTGTTTCATGTAACTATAAATTCTTTTATCTTTTTATATGTATCTTGCAAGTTTTAATATTAAATAAATATTTTTTACTTTTACCTTTTTAATTTCTTCAGTTAATATTTCAATATCTTTCATCAATATTATGTTTAAAGGATGCTCATAAATTAATTAAATATTTTCTATTAATGAAATCAGTTTGCAAAAATTTGAAAATTTGAAAATTTGAAAAGCTACTTTTATGTTTTAATTTATATTTTTTAAGTATTAATAAAATAATATTCAATTTACATGTTTAAACTTTTATATTTTCTCAACCTTCCTATGGGTTTTTTTTTAATAAAAGAAATAGAAAAATAAAGCTTAACAAAGAAAATCAAAGATTTGCCAGAAAAAGAAGTCAACTATTAATAATTGATAGGGGTGCTTGATAACATAGATTTTGTCTATTTAGACATGTTAAGTTAGTTGAAGAATTAGCATATAAATTTTCTCCTCTAAGAATATGATCAGTGAAAATATCTTAATATTTGCAAAGTAAACTTTAAATTTGTTATTACCATAGTTGTAGAAGATATCATCATCATATATTATAATAGTTAGATGTATTACTTTCATACAATTGTACCTTTTTAAAAATGTTATCACAATTTTAAATATCACCATAGAACCTCCAAAAATATTAGTTGTTAAACTAACCAAAATCACCGATGTCAATTACCTTCAATGCTTTCATCAACATATAGAGCAACTATAATAGGAAGAGAATGAGACTACAACAATAGATTAGGAAGTTAAAAGTACAGAAAATGTGAGTTATGACAAAAATGAGAAGTTATATAATAAACTCTGAATTCGGTGGTCCTTAGATGTTCAGCAGTTTGAAATGTGAATAGCATAGCCAATCATGTTGCCTATGCAGATTGAACTTTTAATTCATGGTTCGACTAAGGATTGCTGATACACACTGAATATCCTTTTATAAACATTTTTGCTGTATGATTTGGGATTGATAATATTTGAAAAATATACTTGCATGGTCCTTAAAATATGGTTTAGTTAAGATAAGTTTCTTTCTTCTTGCACCTTATATTTTGTTCATAGTTTGGATTATGAATAGATTAATAGTATTTTATACTGAATTTGTTAGAATACAATGTGACGTACATATGTATATATGAAAAGTATATGCATTGGATAAGACACTTTGATCATTACTATAGGGAAAGAAAATTGAACACCTATTCAGTTTGATGCTAGAATAAAGGATGTTAGTGTCCTTTCGACCTAATTAAAATAAGTTTTATAATTTAGCTCTATCTTAGCTTTTTAAGAAGTACAAGTAAAGTATGAATTTTTGAATATTAAATAATATTTATTATTTTATACTAACTACTGACTTCATCATCAAAGTGTTTTTGTAAGTACCCTCCCACGTCACAATACAAAAGAACCTGAAATATTCTATAAAGACGTCACGTTAGAAGACAAGAGGAGACATCAAAGAAGATTAGTGTACAGTATATTAGTTGGTTAAACTTGAAAAGAAAAAAAAAAGACATTTATTTTTAAATATGTGTTTTGAAAATATTCAAGCCAGTATTTTAAATTTTGCTGGACAAAAAAAAATTCTTTAAAATTGTATGAATAAGACATTTCAATTTTAAAATCTCTTAATTTTTAACTTTTCAAAATATCATTTATTTTATTTGTCTTTATTTTTTAACTTTCGTTTTATACTAAAAAAATTTAAACTAAATAAAAAGTTATGGCAAATTAAAGGTTTTTAGAAATCTCAAAAAGAATAATAGTATTTTATGAATAGATTAATAGTATTTTGTACTGAATTTGTTAGAATACAATGTGCCATACGTATGTATATATGAAAAGTGTATTAGTTGGTCAAACTTGAAAAAAGAAGAAGACATTTTTAAACTAAAAAATTTAAACTAAATACAAAGTTATGGCAAATTAAAGGTTTTTAGAAATCTCAGAAAGAATAACATCTGTACATATTAGTAGTAATTCTATACATGCTCCCATGTCGTGGTTTCATTTTTTTTCCCCTCGCAATAGAAGTTTATCAAACTCGTGTTTCACATGTTGCTTCTAGTTGGCTTTTGTGTTTTCTTTTTTTTATTTTTTTGTTGGGTCTAATGTTGCTTCGAGTGACTAAGTTTTGCTCATGCTTCTGTTTGGACCTTGGGCCAGAGTCCAGATAGATTATATTGGGCCACACAAAAATGGATTTGTTTTCAATTAGCAATGCTTATGGTTTTCTGTAGCGAGAGTAAATACTGAAGGGACTAAAATCATTTGGAAGAAAATCTAAGGGATTTCTTGGTTCATGAAGATTGAAAACATTTTTGTAGATTGTTAAGGATGAGATGATACTTCTTCACCTTTATAAAAGCTATATTGGTATTCTTATTAAAATCAGCCTAAATAAAAATAAAAAAAGATATAAATTTTTTTATAGTTTTTTCATTGCAAATGCCCCCTTAAATATAAATTAAACACTTGACAATTGAATTGAATTGAATTAAATTATGATCATTCAACTCATTGTTCACTAATTAATATTTCAGAACGTAAAGTAAGATAAGTACTTAGACATCGAGAAAGGATAAATAATGGGAATGAGAGATTTTTTAAGAAAAACTTCGTACGTGGCACAAGGTTAAGGCATAGATATGATGAACATGAGTATTACAAAAGAACCCTTGACAAGATTTGAAGATTAGAGTTTTGGTTTGTTGAATAGCAACCGCAAATTCATTAATTCAATGACATATTTGACATGGTAATTCAAAAACATGTGAACCAGAATTTTATATTACAAATAGATAGACTAAAGTTTAATCCAAAATAGTAATGACCAATCACTAATGCATGACATAGGCATAAGCTATCATTCATTGTAAAAAGGTATAAAAGTGTAGCAAGAAAAACAGGAGGGCATATTTTTATACGTCCAAATTGCTGATTTAAAAGTCTACCAAAGTCATCTATTAACCTCTTCTTCTAAAGGAGAAGAAGCTTTCGGAACATGACTAGGGTTTCTGTTTTCTGACTTGGTATCATCAAGGTATTGTTGATACACATATGATACAAATCCCCAAATAGCTAGTACCATAGACATAGCCTTAACACCATGCATTTTGTCATCAAAGAACATCACTGCCAACATTGGAACAACAGGTACTCCCAAAACGCTTATGGCATTAGAGAAGAGGGAAGAAACCTCAAAAATAAGTCCAACACAACCAATAGTAAAGAGTTGCCAAAGTATGGCTGTGAAAGTGAGGTTCAGCAAATATGAAGCCTTACCCATCTCATATTCCTTCATTTCATTCTTCAAACCACTCCACTCTCCACTAGCAAAGAGTCCTACTAGAGTAACACATGTAGCTACAAGGGACTGATATATTATCATATCCATGACCACTTTGAATGTTTCCCTTTTTAGAACTTTCTTGAACACAAGCTGTGTAAGGGAAAGCCATAGTCCATACCCAGCAGATGCACCAATTGTGCAAATAAATCCAATCACATACTTTTTCTTAGAGACTTGGTTGGAATCTGATGAATCATTTTGAAACACAAGGAGGGTGGAGGAAATGGTTAGAAGGACAAGTGAGTTTATTATGTAAGGTGTGAACTTGAGTGAGTTGAGGAAGTAGGAAAAGAAAGCATTGAAAGCTAATTGTGATGAGCAAATTAGTGAATAGGTAGAGACAGGGAGGGACCATAGCCCAACGGAATATAAATAACAATCTAATGCCACAAGTACACCAATGGAGACATAGATAAATGCTAACATTGTAGTAGATGGCTGATTTTGATGAATGCTATTTGTGGAGAGATTTTTGGAAGCTGAGAAGAAGTAATAAGGCAACAAAATAGGGAAACCTGCAAGTTGTACAAGTGTTCCCATCCATTTGCTTTTTCCTCCTTTTTCATAGTACAATCTTCCAAGGAGTACTGCAGCTGAACTACACACCAACACAAGTGCAGCATGGATGGCTATTCTGAGCCAACGGTAATATCTTTTTTTCTTATTGATTGTTGATTGATTCATTGAACCGGGAAAACTACTATCCTCCTCCAATGAATTTGTTTCTTTGGCTCCATTAGCTTCTACGAAAAAACATACCAAATGTTCATTACATGAACTAGATAATATGTCATTAATGGGTAAAAGCTGTTATGTATATACTTCTTATTTGTTTCAAAAGAACTCACTTCCTCTGAAAACAGAGTTCAGCTTTCCTTTGATATGCAAACTCCTTTTATTATTATTATTTGTGGAGGAGTATCAGGCACCTGAATCAGGTGCTTGTGCTTTGTTGTTTCCCAATTTAGTTTGAGAATACTATTTTTGTTTTTATTCTATATTCATATAAAGAATTATAAAAATATTACTTTGTCTCCTATACTCAATGAGTTAAAGCTGAAAAGAACAAAAAAGTTGGTGTCATTCCTTAATTTTGTTTATTTCGGGAAGTATTATATTGATACAGCTCAGAAACTAGACCCTTCACCAAAAATTCCATTACCCATACCACCTGTGTTCCGCCTAGGTGGCATCATCACCTCTTCTAGCACTAAGGCACCAAAATATACTGTGTGACATCGATTTTCACGTCCAATGATTGTATCTTTCTAATTGTGTCTTGTCTGGACACTATTTGCACTTTTGTTATGTATAATTCATCCGTTTACATCTTAGGAACCATCGAAATCGGGACCAAGGTTTTCCATCATATGCATAAAAATTATCAATTGGACATAGGTATGTTTTGCATATTGAAAATGGAAATATATGTCAGTCCATAACAAAATATTTATATCATATAACAAGAAAAAACTCAGACAATCATTTTGCTCTTATTTTTGTGAGCCTTCTAATTTCAAACAGATTTGAAGTTTGTGTTTTAAAATATGGAAGATGAAAAATTGACTTACCATTTTTGCTTAGTGGCACTTGTTGAGGTTCTCCCATGTTGATGGTGGTGAAATAAGTTTTAGAGTGAAGTTGCACTTCTTGAGTTTTTCCCATGTGGAAGATGAAATAAGTTTTCAGAGGAGGAAAAAAAGAAGAACAAGGAATTGGAGATAGAGATAGAGTTAAGACTTAAGAAGGGGTTGGTTGAAAAATGCAATTGAAGTATACAACATACATGTATAAATGTCACCAATAAAAGATAAAATTGGCCTGATTTTTCCTCCTGAAGTTTGACATAATTACACTTAGTACCTCTTTGTTTGCTGGCCTACACACACTGACACACTTAGACTAGATTGCCTTGACTACCGTTTGTGTAATGTATGAGTATGACATGTCTCTTTTACCCTTTTATGTTAAAAATGAAAAAGAGAAACCAGAGTATGCTCAATATGATGGATTTGTCAATAGAGGAATGTGATGACAGTTCCTGTGTTTTTGAGGGGCTTATGTAGAGGGTGTCAATTGTAGGAAGGTGTGATGGTGGCAGAAGATTGTTTCTGATTGGAGATTTCTGAGTTCAATGATCAAGCAAACTTTCATGCAAATCTGGAGGATATGTCATTTACCATATGCAAAGAGTGGTATAAAAGCATACACTATGGTTGGGATACAAGTAAGGTGCAAAAGTATTTCTACTATTATTTTTTTATTAAAAAAATTAAAATTTTGTTTACAAAATGGGTATTCATTTTTTATATCAATTTTTATTATGTTAGTTAATTGGATAAAACTTTAAAAATTTAGATTAAAAAATATAATATACTATATATTTTTTCCTTTTAATTATGTGGAAATATTCGGTCATGTGTACTTATTATTATATTAAAAATATTAATTTCACTCTTAGAATTGAATTTAAATAATTTAAAATAATAAAATTTAATTTTAAAATTAATATTTTTATATCAATTGAGTAATTTTTGTTTGCTTATATGAATTTTTGTGGCTGCACTGTGCTCCCTCCTAACGTGGATTCCATGCACCTTCACATTCTCACCGAAAACGCAAAGCAATGCACCACCCCACTGCAATGCTCAAATCTAACAACAGATTGCAGAACACACTCGTCATTGATGACGCTAACAAATTTAATTTCATCAACGAATTTTTCTGTCCATTGCAATGCTCTTCATGTACATATTTTGACTTGTCAGGTAAGAAGCAGACGAAGACAGAGACAATTGGAAATTTGAAAATACTATTAAAATAAAATATTTTTGTCCAAAAAATATGATGTACAAAAAAGATAAAAAAGACTTTTCTTTTAAATAATATTATTTTTTTTACTACAAATGTATTCATCCTTACCTTATCACTCAGAGTATTTTAATCGTATATAGAGTGTAAATAAGTCTTATTTTCAGTATTTACATAAATGTACAAAAAGGCATGACCAAGTTATTCATTAGTATATATTAAATAATACTGTGTGATATATGCCTTTTATTGTCTTATGAAGTTCTTTCTTTAATTTTCATCATCCTTTGAGTATAAAATTAACCCAACGAATTGCAGTACTAGGACTTAAAACACTTTTAATGTATGAATTAATAAAAGTTTAGGAGTTGCCTGTTAAAGGTGAGAATATAAAAATCATACCTAAGTTACAAAACTTAGAATTGTATATCTCTATGGGAAACAACAATGCATCACAACACAGAGATTCGAATGCTGGGATATTACAATACTTCAAATTAAATCAAATTGTTTTGTTTGAATTCCAAAGTATACTCTAAAGTCTGTACTTTATTGTTACTAATAATTAGAACATTTAAAAAATGTTTTTATACAATGCATATTAATTGACAGTCACTGAAGATTCAAAATGTCAAAAATTAATTGTATATTTATATTAATTAACTTAATGCAGAATATTGTACATCATTGCATTTTCTTAAGTTTTACAAAACCTTTCTTTGTATACAATTGAAGTATAGATATTATCAAATTGAGTATATTAATTTGTCTATTTTAATGAAAATTTTGTATACACAATCAGAAATTAAATCTCTATTAATATTTAAAATATATATTTAGTATTAATTATGTAAAATTTAAACTTTGTTAATTTTACAAATTAATTTGAACCAATCATTAGTTTAATCAATATAAAATATATGAAATAATATTGATCCCAATTGTTTATCATAAAATATAATGAAAATATATTAATAATATTTTTAATAAAATATTTAATTTTAATTTCGTAATAAATACTCATTTATTAGTATTTACTAAATATCGAATATGATAGTTTCGTAACTGAATATGAAACTGATATTAAACAATATTTTATAAGGAATATGCAATATGATTTTCAAGCAATAAAATTCATAAAACAAACCAAAACTTGAAAACGAGTGACGTTAAAACATAATGCTTTTTCAACCAAGCATATACTAATTTCATACGCTTCATTTGCCACATCATTCGTCGCAAGATTTTGAAATTCATTAATGTAACAAAACATGGCTATTCTATGAAACCTATGTTTATGTATTTGCCAAACGATTTTGATCCTATATGAAATATATGATATATGATATATGATATAGCAATATGTTAATCAATACTTACAAATTTTCACTTTTTAAAGCTCACCCCTATATTCATATAGATAATTAACTTTCTCAAACGTTGAATTACAAGTAATGGCTATGAAGAAAAGCATTAATGGCGCAAGTGGAGATGGGGTTATCGAAAGGGTCAAATACACGACCAGCATTGACACAGAATTAGATAAGGAACATCAATTTAGCGGCTAAAAAGAAAGAGTTGCACTGCATGCTTGTTGATCTTTAATTTTATAATACGTGTGTCATTTTCTTACCACCCCACATGGAGGACCAGCCCCACTAGTATCACATTATTGAGATTTGCATTAATCTTCACGATGTAAGTTGATGGTGTTGTTCTTTTCAAATGATTGAATAAATCATTAATTTTCGTCCCTACTAGTTATTTAAAGTGTTTATTAAATTTTTTAAAACTAAAAAAGTAATATATTTTGATCAGTCTGTTTTATTATCATTCATTAATTATCATTAATAAAAATATGCGTATGGCACGTTATGAACCATTAATAATTTTAAGGTGTCCTTTGAGAATTTATTTAATATATTAAAGATAATTTGATGCACGATGTAAATGTTAAGAAAGAATTTGATGGTTTGTAGATTTATATTGAATACTATATTAGCATATTAAAATTATTTTTGTTTAAATTTAAAATAATTTTCACGTTAAATGAAAAAATAATTAATGAAACTTGTACAATAGGAGTGTTACACCTCTTCATTACCATAAACTTAAACAGAGATGTGTTCCTAATGCATCACCTAATTGTTGCATCATTTATCTTAATCTACCTTTAATTAAGCATTGACGCGATACTTCAACTTTATCAATGTTTTCTTTTTATAACCACCCTCCCATTTTTTTTTTCCTATATTATCGGTTTGTCTCTTGTGCTTAATGTTTTCTTAACATTTGATTCGGAGACAGAAACTTTGGAACAGAGGCATGGAGACACATCTATTATATTTAGCTAGTATTTCACCAGAGAGACAGAGATAAAAAGACATGTGAAATATAAATTGTATCTTCTGAAAAAAAAGACACTAGTGTCCCAACTTCAAAGGTACAGAAAATATGCTTTTAAAGACTAAAATATCCTTAATAATTTTTTAAAATTACATAATTACCCTTATATATTTTTTTTTGTCTTGTTTCTTACATTCAAATTCAATACAAAATATAATATACAAAATTGCTACCTAAACTACCCTTGAAATTTATCCAATATATTCTTATTTTTGCATAATACCAATATGGAGGTAAGGTTGACAAAGGCAATGGAGAAAAGTTGAAACCGAGTTAAAGAAAGGAAGAAAAAAAAATCAGTGCGATTTAAAATCATGGAGAAAATTAAGAACTTGTTTGTTTTTATTTTAGTTTTAAATTTTTTTAAAATTATATTTTAATATAGTTTTGAAAAAAGTTTTAAGAAGAAAATTAAAATAATATTTATGTTAATAAACAATTTCTTAATTTATGGTAGGAGAGACATCAAATCTTCTAAAAAAATTTGGAGATCAATTTAGTTTTAAAAATACAAATTGAAGAAATAAATTGATATTAAAACAATAAATTCTGTGATGTTTTAAACATTAAAAGACTAAATTAATATAAAAAAAATAGAAGACTTAATTGATGGTATAGAAATCTCACTGCAAAAATAAAAATAAAAAATTGCATCAACTTACGTGTAGTCAATAGATATTGCTGAAAATTATATAAGATAATTTGATCACATGAACAGAAGACCTTTTTACACATAAATGAGAAGAGTAGATAACATGATTTTTAGTTAATAAAAAATCTTTAAAAAATTATTAGAAAAGAATTTTAATTAATAATTTTTTTAAAATTTTGATTTTTGACTTCATCTTAATTATGTCATATGATTTGTGAAGTTACTTTTATTTGTTGTTGTATTTTTAAATTATTTATAAATTAAAATTGTATAAATCAAAATAGTTATGATATTTATTAACATCGTTATAAATCAATTTCAGTCATGGTGGCCAGTGGTCGAATGTGACCGGGAGCGAGTAGGTCCTGCCCCTCTTGCTTTGACGAAACTGGTCAATGCAAAATTATGATGATTGTTGCTATATGTATATTTGTCAAATTGTTAGATTGTAATTTTTTTAATATATTTATATTTTTTAAAATAAATTATTAATTCTACGTGTGGGAGGATATTATCCTTTTAATTAAAAAGGTACGGTAAAAAATGACCTAAATTTATTATTTACTTTTTTTTGTGATACATATAATTTAAGTTTATTTAATTTAGTTTTATTTTAAAAATTATGTAAATTTATCTTTTATTATTTTTATTCAATTTAAAATATTTAAATTATTATTATTATTTAAATATTTACAACATTTATGATTATTTATTATGTGAAAAAAATTAAAGGTTTAAAAATAAATAATTTAGAGAATCTTTCATAAGTTTTAAAAAATAAAAATATAAGATGAGAATTTTTAAGATATATATATATATATAT